AATGTCGCAATATCAGAAATCAGAGATCTTTTCTGTTTATTCAGAACAATGGGCCAAACAATATTCAGGAAGGCATCCGCAAGAAAGATATGAATGAGGGCACAGTCTGACTTCATCCACATTTTCTCTAGAGTTAAGATCAATTTGAGTGATTAACAGCTGTGACTGGAAGCTGATAACGTTGTTGTCTTGAAGGGAGAGTGAAATGAAAAATTATCAATCACTCTAAAAACAGGCACTATAAAAAATGTTCTCTGGAGTAATTCTTCTACAATAAAAGTCTGATAGGCTCATTAAATTTCATTATGCTATTAAACGACCGAAAACTTGCGCTAGATGAGCAAATTAAATTTGAAATTTATTTTATGAATTCGGAAACAATAAGCATTTATAAAAATAAAAAATGTGACGTGCCCCAAGGTATCCCACTTTTGTCGTTGAAAAAAGATTTTATTTATTCCTTTTAACTTTTCATTTGGCCAGATGTAATTAACTTTTTACTTGGCCACATATAACTAGCTTTTCATTTGGCCTGTGTACAAATATGAATAAGTAGGTAAAAAAGTAACACATTTCCTTTAGCTTTTTGTTAATATACTGCATTTTAGAACAAATAGTCGCCGAAGTTGAAAATGTCCCACAATCGATAAGTGATTCAGTTATTTGATGAGGAATAAGATCAAAGAGTTGAATTTCACTTCACTTTTTAACTTGTCATAGTATATGCATTTCAAAGTCTGTGAAACCGCTGTTTTCTTCTATCCAATTAAGCGAATATCTGTGTTAAGATTCTGTAGCAGTATGCTGAATGATAAATCATCTGATCTCTAATATGAACAAGCAAAGACAATACAATATGCTAACTGCAGAGAAATCTCTAATAGGTGTCTCTTTAAAAAAATAATTTTACTCGGTTGTACTGAAATATTGTACTGAAAAATTCCTTCTTTAATGGATTGCATTCAAATTCATTCCATACAGTACCGATTATTAAGATCCCGCTGGAAAATTAATGGCTTCTGAGTGGTTAAATAGAACACTGATTAAATGCGTTTCAAATTTGAAGTGCTGTAATTTTAATTTCATTTATTCACTCTTTCCTGCTCTCATGAAGTGGATTTGTCACGCACTCTTTACCACTGTCAAAAGTGGAATCACAGAACCGGCTTCATTCCTTTTTTCAGTAACGGGAAATCAGCGGATAATGAATTCGTCCTATACGCTCGTTTATCCACACGTTGCGCAATGCGAATCATTGCCTTTTTTCGAATTGAAACGCAACTATTGATAATAAATACACACCTCAACTATAAAATAATCAAAGCCTCTCTCCACACACATAAAAACAAAATTAACTGCAATCGAACATTTAATTGGCATGGAAAAAAGAGAAAAAAGAGAGAAAAAATTGGTGAATAGTTGTGCAAATGTTCGACAAACGTAAAATATGGAAAAAAGTTTGGAATGACAATTAACTGATGAATATATACATTCTATTTTAATAGACGATCAAAGAGCGTTTCCGTAAAATCACTACGAAATGTCAATTGTGGTTAAAATGGAAGAGAGAAATTTTGAGAGAAAATGAGAGATGAATTTGCTGAGACAATAAATAAAGAAGTTGACATCAATAATTAAGCGAATGGATAAGATGATTATCATTATTGTCTTTCTATGTACCTTTCTTCCCATATTTCCAGTTACAATTTATATTTCTTCTTGAGCATTCATCAAAATTCTTTCAATTCAAAGATTTCATTCCAAAACTGTAAAATGTAATCACATTGTTCTGAATGTTGTAAAACACTAAAATTTGTCGTACTATGATAATTCATATAGGTTAATTCGATCAAACTGATAAACAATTAGATGTGGTAAGACGATTAAATAGATGTGATAAAGCTCACAACCAAGAAGCGATCATTTTAAAGCACTCATGGGAAACTATCTTATCACACTTTTGTTAAACGAAAGAATTAGAAGATAAGAAACAGCAAAAGGGTAGAAAAAAACACCGAAATGTAACACAATAATTTGCTGATTACATTCGTTCACGATGAAAAAATGTAATCATAGACTTTTTTCCATTTTTTTTTTTAAATTTAATAGATGTCAATTGTTGATCAATTTAAGCAACTTCCAAAATTATCTCTACAACTATCATACTATCATGTAAAAGATTCCTTCATCCTTTATGTTCTAATATTTCAATAGAAAAATCACTCTCAAATGAGCTTTTACATGTGTTTATTTCGGAACCGCTCTGCAACACTTCCAAATGAACAGCTGAAGGACTGAATGGCTATTTGCTCGTGCTGAAACTGATCACTCTTCTGATCTCTTCATTAATATTCAAATGTATATAGGTTGCAAAGCATTACTTTACTTTCCTATAATCTACTCTCAACGTTTATTTAAACTACCAAAGACATAATGAATCGAAAGAAATGATTACGAGCCGGTGCTATGAGTGTATTTTGCTAGATAATATGCATCCGCCATGCTTAGAAAAATGAAATTAATTTAATAAAATGATAGCCTTAATAATCCTGATGAAAGAAAAGAAGAAAATTTTTGCATATTACAGGAAATGTCATTTTTTTTTCATGAACTCATCTAACATTTGACGATCTTCCATCTATCCTCGCTCTTCCCCTAATGAAAAAAAAAAACGCACATGTTCTCTAATAGATGATTAAGTAGATTGTTATAACGATTGATACCACCTTAACTTCAAAGTTACTGAGTAGAAAAATGAAATTTTGTTTGTTGTTATGCTCTTTCTTACTACAAAATTTTATGTGCATTATATTTTTACAACCTACGACGACCTCTGTATAGCTTCTCTTCGTTCGATTTCTTCTATAAACTATGAAAACATAGCGCGAATCACGATTTCAGACGGCAAAAGAAAAGAATGTCTGTCTCGATTGATCGCAATTACTCTCCATCGGTTAGTAATAGTTGATCTACGTAACCTCTTTTGATACACATTTCTTGCCAATTTGAGTTCTATCAAAAATTGGGTGGATTAAAATAATCAATGGATCATTTTTGCTCATTCACAGTACACAGATGCACTGTTCTGAATATCTAAATAATTTAGAAAACTAAAACTACCACCGATAATCTATTTCAGCAGTATGAATGAGATAATCCGTCAAATGTCTTGCTTGTCCGGGTCACTACTCGTAGAACTTCTAGTATTCTAACTCTGTTCTGCAAGTATGTAAAGCAAAGAAACAAAGCTGATTTGGAATAATGATGAATAAAAACTAAAGAAATTTCTTTTAGAATAATGAATATTCTAAAGACAACAGTAATGTCATAATCTTTCAAAAAAAAAGAATGATCATAGTCCTAACAACTATGTTATACTACAGGTATGAAATTGGAAAAAAATCAAAAAAATCGAATGAGCTAAAATGCGTGATATTATGTTATGCAGATAAAATTCATTGATTTTTCTATATAAACATTTTATCAGTAATTACAATATGAATGTATTAGTATTTTCCACATATTGTTCAACAGGTGAATGATAATACCGTACAAAATAATGTTCATTCTCTTTCAACCAGAAAGAGAGTTTTCAAATAAACCATTCTCTACCTGACACAAATACACAATTAAATATGATCATAATATCAGAGATATTATGATCATATTTAACTGTAAAATAAAATAAAACATTTGCAAAAAATTTATTGGGAAGGAAAAAACATGTAAGTTCAATGAAATGCTTCTGGCATACACTATATTTATAGTTTTCAATACACTCTACAACATTTTTGAAAGAAGAATTCAAATAGGATTATAGTGACCTAGTAAAGTTGAAAGTTTAAATTTTTATTCTCATCTTAAAACAAAATGTCTTTAATCTCAAGAATCCAAAATATTCGTGCAGTAGTTTTATTAAAGCTTAATGATTAATCAAAATACAATGCTTGCATTGTATTTTGATTAATCATTAAGCTTTAATGAATTGGCATTGCATAAATGTTTGAGAATAGTTGAGAAAATGATCTTGACCGATCTTTTGTTGCAGACATCATTAGTTTGGTGGCATTTGATTTAAAAAAATCCCATTGTTAAGTAAAATTTTATTTTCTAGTCTTGAGATTTCTCACACTTTGGACTTGTATAAGAAATTCCAAGTTTCAGCATTAAAAAGGAATCACGCATTTGAACTGAGTCAATGAAATGCAGTTTTGATAAAAAAAGAAAAACACTTAACAAGTAATTAAAAAAGCCTCATCACTATAGCTTAACTAATAATTTTAAACAAAATCCTGTTTTATAAAAATATCACGCTGTATGATATGAATGACTTGGGACAGAATGGAATTAAAATACAATTCTCGTATCTCGATGAAAAGCGTTACCCGGCTTTAAACATGGCAATATAAGATTTCTATAACTTTCATTTTTCTTCCGAGTACCATTATTTTTACTGATTATATTAAACTCTATACAAATGATTCTGCTGCTCGATTTCTATATTTCATTGGTAAATTTCCTTTTTCCAGCATTTAAATGGCCTTTCTAAGTAAAGCATTTATGCGTCCTTCTATGTTTTTTATCCTCATCCAAAAAGAGAAAATTTTTGTAAAACAGACAACGTAAAAATTAAATTTTCTAAAAAATGAGAAATTTTGATAACATCAATGTTTTCCTATTTTTACAATACAACAGGCCAAGTTTGGCAATTGCAACTATTTAATAATAAAAATAAGCTTACAATTTGCAATAGATCTGCTGATTTTTAAACAATTTTGATAACCAAGATCAAGAACGCCACAAGGATCCTGTTCTCCTCAGACGATAATCACTACAAAATAATGAAAGAAAATTCTCCGGAATATTATATGAGTTCATAATAATTAATACTAAGAAACACATATTTAAAGAGCTTCAGTAATATCTCATCAAATCTATACTTTTCTAGTTTATGCTAGCGATACATAAAAATTATGCTACAAGAAATATTTCTCGCCGTACTAAGTGTAGATTTGTTGATGATTTGCAGCACCTCCTGGCAAATCATCAACCAACGATGTAGCACTATTCATTGTTTCGAATGAATTTATATTTGTCGAAGGCTTATGAATAAGCATTCGCAAGTGTCGCAGCGTTATATTCACATCACGGAACAACTGCATCTGTAAACAGTGTTTTCCATTAAAAAAATTCATCTATTATCGTTTTAGCTTAATTCTCCACATATGAATTTCTTTGAGATAAAAATTTAGTTGAAGTTAGAAAAATGAGCCATATTTCCCAATTTTCACCTGGAAAATGCCAATGATTGTGATCAGGAAACCGACAACATTGCCTAAAACATCGCTTGCGCCCAAGCGAGACCATTCTTTGTATAAAATCGATGAGGCCAGTATTACAAACGTTGTGAAGAATACATAATATATAGGCGTTACCATCGATGTGTTGTACATATCCAGGGATTTATTCAAATATATCTCAAAAAAGACAAAACAATAATGACAATTCATACTAATTTTCTTTCACTTCCTCACGTCCAGTCGATAAAATGGTTACATTTTGTGGACTTATAAATCTCAAGTACCCAATCCACAAATTACACTTTTTCTTTAAATTACTTCTTTCGCATCATCTGTTTAGACCTTCCATTACTGTTCAAAAAAATAAAAGACCAAAAGACATAGCTTTAATCACCACTACAGCATCTGTTGATGATGAATCAATTCAATACCTGACCAAAATCTTTCTTTTCATGCAATTCGGGCATAAATTTCCTTCACTTCTCATTACAATGCGATTATAAACTCAAGAAAAAATTAAAAAAAAAAAACGAACTTCGCTAAGTTTTTCTTAAATTTTGGAAAGACAAAAACGCTGATTTTGAATATATTTGTGTTTATCTTTGCAATATCCAAATCATACAGACTTCTCTATATATTAATTCTACTAATTTATAAAAAAAGGAAATACCAACCAGTTGTATGGAAATACAAAGAATTACAGCAACAAGCCAAAACCATGTAAGAAAATTAGTAAATTGTTGCTTCCCACCAATTGTTTCCTTAATGGCTAAACCAAGTCCTTTAACAGATAGCACAGAAAGAGAACCAATAATAGAACAAATAAATATATACACCAAAATGTTAGAACGGCCGAAACGTGGTGCCACACAAATAATCATTATTAGTGATACCAAAATCACTGCTACCACATAGAAAATGAAACCTGAAAAATGCATTCTGGAGAATTTAATATTCAAAACTCTGCCAACTATACTCTTGACACTTCTTCATCAAGCAATAATGTCCAGAAATTGAACATATGTTACAGATCGCAGATTTATTATTAACTGGAATTAATGTCAGGCAAGTAAAATCAACTATGATTGATGGTTAGAAACAAAACAGCAAAGGAAAAAAAAGATAGTTTGGCTAGAGCTGAAAACTATATTATTTCTTAACAGCTCATGTTGATCACATAAAAAAATTTCCTTTCATTCCAGTTCAGTTGAATTAGTATTCCAACGTAGCAGTTTTCTAAACAAATTCAGCAAATGGTACCATCATTAAAATGGAACAATGAACTTTCTGCAAAATGTAAAAAAAACTTGAGGAAAATCATTTTATAACTTTTATCGGTAATTACCAGTATAAACATCGAAGGCATTTGATGGAAAAAGAATTAGTTTGAGATACTGAGCCTCACTTTACATTTCAATATGCTATGGTTTACGTTCCAAAGCATTTGAAAAACTTTTTCACTGTACTGAAAGAAGATGGTAGGATAATGAGCACTGACGTCAAAACTAAGAAATTATATGTGCCAAAATAAGTTATCTTGTGCTCCTGCAGAACGTCCTTAACAAAAATACTTCACACTTTCCAGAAAATCCAAGCTGAATAACTCTTTCAGCGCTTGCCACATAAATTTTTTTTAAGATAGAAATCCATAAATTAATACAGACCTGCATCTCTCATTTTAAGAGCCAAATCAGCCATATTAGAAACCTCTTCTTCCTTCGGTGAGTGTAAGACGATTACTGTTGAACCAAGAAGACAAACCGCACAACCGATTTTACCTAGCAGATTTAAACGTTCTTTGAGCAATTTCGATGACAGTACTGCTCTGAAACAATCACGTGAGTTTAATTGTCAGATGAATAAATTCTCTTGATTAGATAAAAACTAACTGAAATCTACTTTTTCTATTTGTATGAGATTTCAATCCTTCGTCAGCTTTAAATGCCTAGAAAAAAATTATTTTAAAAGCATGTTTAACGACTGTGACAAAATTCGAATCGGACATGAATGTAACACAATCCTGCGACGGTTAGCGCCTCAACTTTAACTCATTTCATTCATTCTGTTCACTGTTTCGGCTGCCAACACAGTTTGGTCAAACAAAGTAATTTAGCCATTATTTGATAATGCATTCTAAACTTGAAACCTCTGGACCGACAAGCCATATTAAGGTTAATTAATAATTACACTATTAATTATATGCCCTTTCCATTTTGTATAACAATAACATGATTACATGTTTTATAGTCTACTGATTACACTTAAACTTGTGATAGCTTAAAATAAGTGGTTAACTAGTGGCAGCATAATGCTGGTTTTGATCTGCTGTTCAGTGCTATGTGAAACTATGGCACTAATGAAAAATTGAGGATTGTATGATCGAGCAGTTTTAATATTTCAATTTCATTTCAAAAGTAAAATAAAAATTACCCTGGGAATTGAATGTAAACTTACGTCACAATGACACTAAGCACACCAAGTGGTGTTACTAGACTTGCTGGTGCAAAAGCATATGCTGCAAAATTACACGCCTCACCAGTACCCACTGCAAAAAAGATTTTGAATAAATAATACACATGAACTGCTTCCTATAAAAATTGAAACTTTATCTATGTGTAAATGTCACCGATCAACTCTAAGTGATCCTCCTCCACGAATGAAACAAAAATATCTTTTATTATGCTTAACTAGCGGGCAAAGAAGCTTTTTTTTTTAATTTAACTGCATTCTATTTAATTTATTTACAAGCGAGATATAAGCAAAAGTCTAACATCATATTATCATAGTTTTTTTTTTGGAGGGAAAAAAAACTTACTAGTCAATACGCCAAACCACCACAACCATTCACGTAGATAACCGAAACCTCCTTCAGAGGCACGATGGGTACAATCAATTTGCGCAAGCTTGATAAGTGCTTTTTTCTTGATGATAAATGAACTACCAATAAATAAGGATGATGAAATGGCCAAGCCGAGACCAATGTAAAAATCGAGCAATGAATAACTAGATACTAAGAAATAGGAACCATCTGCACTGTCAGTCGTGTTACTATCAACTTCACTTTCCACTGAGAAATTCATCCTGAAACACCATTTTCCTTCTTCTTATGTATCTCTCCCCAAGCAGATATATTTTACAAATATGCAACTTTATAGGACATTATACTTTTAAAAATTAATAACTTGGAATAAAGCACATAAAATGTATTCTGCACATCAGTAAGTGAGTAGGAGGATCAGCTATTTTTTGATATTTAAGCTTTGTGTCTTAAAAATTCTGCAAAACTCACAGATTAATATTATCTAAACTGATGCAAATCAAACTGACAAAAATAAAAAGTTCTGCTTACAGTTATAAAAATCAAATGAGAAACGAAATTCGATGCTATATATTATATAAAGAACGGAAAATATTCCATAAAGAATGAGAAAGGTTTGAGTGTAATGTTTCCACCAATAGCAAGTATTTCATAACTTCAAGATGTTAAATAAGGTATAAAATGACCTTACATTGGTTGATCTCTTAGTAGTTTCTCAATAAAATAAAATAAAGCAAGCTTGACGACAGTGCGTTTGAAATTTTTGCTCATTATTAGAACATGATAGATCAGATGAGTTACCTCAGAAACTTATTAGGATAACATTTAGAGGCGGTTCTTATACTCTGTAATCTTTCAAAAATTGTCACTTGAAAGCAATACTATTCTCTTGATTCTCATCAGTCATAATGCCTGAAGCTATGTAAGAAATTGAAAGACAAGAATTATTGATTCAAAAATAAGCATGATAGATATTCAAAATGGAAGTGAAGGGATTTATAAAACCATAAGTCCATTAAGTGAGTTCAAGGAAAAAGTGACTACGCTAGTAACACGCTTTTTTGACATCAATAAAAGATGGAAAAATTTTTCAAATTTTAATTTATAATAACAGTTACAAATTTTATGTTTACGAATTCAAACTTACTGTTATATTTCTAAATGCCTTATCATAATTATAAAAAAATTCTTGCACCGTTTTAGAGAGTATAAGTAAATTTATATGAAGGTGAAATAATGTACGTATCATCAACATACAATTAGATAATGATAAAAAAGATAAGGAATGCTTGCGATGTCTTCCACGGTAGTCCGAATAACTGGAAATATAAAAAATATCAAGAATGACAAAAACGATGGAAAAATATTCTCAAATTGAAGCAGCTAACACTATTATAGAGGTACATTCGGAAGTAAAACCAATCAGATTTGACTGATGAGATATGGAAGGAACACACCCGTTAGGTAGTTTGTTCATTCCACATTTCATCAAAATGTAGCGTCTATATTAAAATTGAATTTTCAGAGATATGAGCATAGTGATATGATGCTATAGAACACTTCACATCGTTCATACTTCAATAGCATATAAAGGGTTCTCTTCTTAACCCAGTTTCCTTTTCTTCTCATAAATATCCACAGCAGTGTATGGCGTTAAGCTAGTACCTGTTAACTTCGAATACAGTTTGATTTATTCTGATTTATTCCCTCCACTTTTGTTGTTCTGGTTCTATGTAATTTTATAATTCTTTTATATGTTCTACTTCCTTCTTCAGATGAAATTAAATATCTTAATTTTTCCCTCGCATAAACAACGACTTCAATTATATGGCATTTGAGTTTGTCTAGCGTTTTCCAATATTTCAATATGCTAAGAAATAAACAGAGATATGAAACAGGATAAATAAGTTGGAAAATTGTTCTTGATAGCATTATTTACAGCAAAATCGCGATTGAGGATTAACAGAAAACGAGCTAACATGAAATATGAAGCATTCTCTGATACTGTTTCTTGTACTGAACTTTTAAATTTTTTGATAGGTACGGACTGATGAAATATATGTGCGTCCATTATCTATGGCCGTCTTCAGCAAATCGATAAATTCATCTGCAAAAAACGATTTTGATTTTTTTTTCTGCAAACGCAAAGAAATTACATTACTGTGATTCGAATTAGTAAAAAAATTAGTAAAATTCTCTACTTCTGGTTCGCTGTGAGATGGATCTTTATGATGAAAAGACGTTTTGATTTCAGTACTGTAAGTTAATCGATATCAATATATTTCTGCTCACATTCGAGCATTTTTCTTTACACTCCAATTAAAAGATTAAATGCTTTTGTATTTAATCAAAGAAAATTTCGAAACTAGAATGTAACAGAAAAGGCCAACAGCGCGAATGATATACATATCAATTATAAAAGACAAATGAATAATAAAATATATCATATCGTTGGCTAAGAAGACTGCTTCTGTGCAGAATGCAAGCTAAGCTTTCAGTAACATTCAAAAAACAGGGAAAAGAAACAAGTGTTTTCAAGTCTCTAATTAGGAATACGAAAGATAAAGTGCTTTTTACATGGCTGTTATTTCACAGATAATTATTTTACTGTTCAAAAATTATATTAATTTCACACAAGATATATACATCACTGTTAAGAGAATGCAAGATGATAACCCGTGTTACTATTCGTCGATGTTTGTCCTAATGTTTTTCTTGAGAAAAGATATGGATTCTTGATAAATCAGTCATTTTGAAAATGAAGTGGAAGCCATGTCCCACTTCAACTTATTTAAAAATTTTTTTAGAAAATGCCAGGGCTTAGTTCGCTTTAATTAAAACAAATCAAACTAAATATATTAATTAAAAACTACACACTACGAACATCAGAATCAGACCAGAAGCTATATGCCAATTCAATAATATCTGAGCAATTTTGTTCTTTTCTGAATCAGTGAAGAGTTTACCATTCAACAAATCAACAACAAACGCTATGTAAACATGACTTGAAATTGGAAAATTAGACCGATAAAACCGCATTATTTACTGTACTCTGAAATGATGTTCGCTTCATTAAAGATTCAAATCTGCTGATACCATAACAAAATAGGACGCTATTTAGACAAAATGATTTAACAGTTAGTATCGTGCGGCAACTTCATAAGATTAGCATATATGACATGGGGATGTAACAAATTATTGAATATCAATCAGAACAGCGGATCTGTTTAAAGTAACTTCGCAATATAACAAGTATCTTGACAAACAAAGTTTTCAGCCTTAACTTATGGTTTGATGGGTATCAACATTAGTGCTAGGGATCCTCATTTTGCAATCAACAATTAACAAATTCCCATCCAGGTTCACATTTATTCCCTGCAAAGAAGAAATTGAACAGTGGATAAAGCGCCCATGAGCAATCTTAACGAATCAACTAGGAGTGATGATATTTTCAACTATCACCATTATCATATATAATTCATGTGCCCAACCAATAAATGTAGCTTAAAATTCGGCCTAGGAAAATGCTTTAGAAGGCTTTCTAAATCAGGAATTATCAATTATGTGAAAATATTCGAATATTTCTGAATAGGGATAAGGTTAAATGAAATAATAGGAAAATAGAGAAGTATAAACCTCTACTGCATAGTTTATTACATTTTTCTTCCCCCACAAAAAAATGTAATAATGTTGAGAGACTCCCTGCACTCCACAACTTGGCGCTGACATCAACTGTTCCATTCTAACTCCATCTTCTGACCAAATTACAACAAAAAACTTTTTACAATGACAGAACAGCAAATTAAATACAGGATTTCTTCAAGGAAATCCACAATTAATTTGTAAGTCCCCCATTAATCTCTTGCGTAACTAGGCCTTCTAAAGCCAAACGGAGAAATTAGTAATAGCAGGAAGGACACCTTTCTTTTTCATATTTCCTATTTTTTGAAAAGATATCAAGCATTTTCTCTTTAATTCAAAATAAGATAACTAAAATGTTGAAATACGAAGTTATCACTCTATTTCAACTTGTTATACTACATTTCGGAATCCGTAATAAATACAGACCTCCGGTCAGCAAGTTTGTTTACAAAATTCAATTTCTTTCATCGGTGAAAGTATTCCTTTCAAAAATGGAGACGGAAATCCGTTCCATAATCAAAAAAAAAAGAAAAAAATCAACATAACAAGTTTTTATACTATTAAACGTTCAACATGCAACAAAATGAAATTAACAGAAAACATTTGAAAAATTAGAATAGTATGGGCATGATTCAGTATACTATACCAGTGCTGTCCACGCCAGTAATAATGAAAGCATTGGTATCAGCAAACAAACGTAAACACTCAAATATTCGTAAATGCCCCATCAGTTAAAAACATGTGTATTCTGCTTACTGCAACTCCTTTCTTTGAAACATCAAGAGGCCAGTCAATAAATAAGCAGAAAAATAGTAAAGATCAAAGTGGTACTAAAAAAATTGGTATGTTACAAATAAAGTTCTGAACTTCTTTCTCATTTTTTTCTATATAAGGGTGGAGTGAGAAAAATATTCAGAATTGCACGTTTTTTTCGGCTAATGTCTATTGCAGAATAGGCAACATCAATGAAAACTCTAAATCTTTTAGAAAAGCCCACCTTATTTCATATGATCTCCAGTTTCATGTGTCGAATCGAGAATACGACACTTCCTCGACAGAAAATATTTCAAATTTTTTTTTTTCAAATCAAATATCACATTTCCTTCCTCCAACAACAAAAATTTTAAAATAGAAATATGGGTACTTTTTTCTCTCTATTCAATTTCACATTTCTGATTCACATGAACCAATAAAATATTCAATTGTTTCTTTTACTCATCAAACAATAGGGTCTGAATAACTTTTCACAAAGTCTGTATCAGTATACTTCTCCCTCCCCCCTCCCCCCTCACAATATTATCGCGGTAACATAGCATCTTCCGAATTTTCTTGATCCACTCCTCCTATATGTATTTTCTCAATTTTTGGAGCTGTTTCCAAAACAGGTGCCAACTCGACTTTTTTTTCCACAGTACGTAACTTTTCTAAACTTTCTGCTGTTTCCTTCGTCAATAAATCTGCCTGAAATAAACATACTTTTTTCGGTAAAGTTATTAAAAAATGTATATAAGCATTAAACATTACAGCACCTCTGAAAATTTCTGTTAAGATTAACTTGCGAAAGTCTCATTCAACCATAAACAAAAAACTCGACGAGTTCCAAAGAACTTAAACTGTCAAAATGGATAACAATCCAAGCTGCATCTTTAGATGAAATAAAGGAGAGGATATACACCTTTTCTTTCAATAATTGGTCATACATTGGACGATAAACTTCAAAATATTGCTTGACACAGTCTTGCGCTAATTTCAAAAAGTCATCGATTCCTTCACCAGTTAACGAAGAAACTAAAATAATACAGAAAACTATTTTCAAAAAAGGAACCAACAATAAAATTTATTTTTCAGAAAATTTCTTGAAAGAGTGTTGTATTCTTCTTACGCTTAAAAAAAAGCTCGGCAGTATATTGAAACATTTCAGACTGTTAAGAAGTTCGTTATATTAATCACCTTGTAAAAAATGAGAGATGTTCTCTAAATTCACTAAATAAATCAGAGCATGTTTATACTATTTTCTTCTGAAAATGAGCTAAATTCAATATATCAAATTTGCTTACAATTGAGAATCTTAGCAACAAACCTGAGACAGTAGCCAAATGCTGATAGAACTGATCAAGTACAAGACTTAAAGATCTAGTTAAATCATTTATATATGAAGTGGAGTTTTGATCCAGCGCTTCTTGAAAACTTTCGAAATCATTCATCCATTTCGTTGCAAATGTTGGCTTTATTATGTCCGCCTACAATTTTTTTATACCTGTTGCATAATCCTTGTAGCAGCGATCAGAATGCAATACGTCCAGAACGGAATTGCTGACTTGTCTATTATTTAGCAATATAATAAAACGATAAAATAAAGAATAAAAAAATCTGCGTTAGTCAATTCAACTTTATAACAATTTTCATAGCAGTGCAACTTTTTGCATTATAAATTACGTTCCATCATAATTCCCTCAAAAAATGACTCAGTAGAGCAGATAACTGATAGCATCACCTTCGTCAAAAGAAATTACAATAAAATAACCTTATTGAAAACGACGATGAACGGCAGCTTTGTACGATATAAAATTGAGCACGCATAAAGCATGTTCGACATGAATGTTGTCGAATTTGCAGCGCGTACCGAATCAACGATAAATGCTATCATTGTCGGGAATGAAGATGCTAATGAATCGGTAATAATCGATCCGGAAGCCGACCACGTGAAAGCTTCGATCTGACCAGGGGTATCCAACAAGCAATAGCGACATTGTTCTGATCGAGACTTTATGAAATCCACTACCTGAAACACATGAAAATTTTCACCTTCCAGCAGTTTTGACTTTAACAAAAAATAAGATGGTTCTAACTGGATTCAAACTAAACAGTAGTAAAGTAACTGAACATGAACCAGCTATTCAATTTGTATTATGTACTTATAACTGTGAATGCTCAGATGAGCAGCATTTAAACAGTACCCTACAACCGCAAACTGCCTCAATATAGTCAACGAGTTGAATTCCTGAAGGACAAAATAATAAACTGATATTAAATATAACAGTATACACTTTAACTACTACGTAAAATCATCGCAAATTCCTTACTCATAAATCTTTATTTTCAGAAATCGTTCGGCTTAATGTTCTTAAAAATAAACATAAGCAGCAATCATTACATTTCGAAAAGATAAAAATCAACCTCATTAAATTTAGTGCAAATAAGATTTAGGCAAGTCAATATAGCACCATTCGGGCCTAAATGATATTCTTTCATCACTTGTTTGTATTTCACCGTATCTCGAATATCGATATTTGCAGCGTATGGAACTGTAGTAACAGCCGGATCCAGATTCACCAAATATGGTGCAATATTTTGCTGTCGTAATCGTGCTGCTACACGCTTAATTTATTGAAAAAATCATATTTTAGAAAAAGATATTTATGTACTCAAAAACAAGAAGACATAAAATCATATTTCACAAATTCAACGGAATAAATTAACATCTAAAAATCTTCAAAGAGCAATAAAGAGCAAACAGCAATGGGTGGAAAGTTACGAAAAGAAAAGAAACCTGGACAAAAGCACTTTTACCGGATCCCGCCATTCCCAAAACGATAATTGTGGCGGTGTTATTACCGAAAGCATCTGCTGATGATGATGACGCGAATGTTTTCATTTCCTCCATTCTAAAAGATCGCTGTAGTGCCAAACAAACGTCTCAAACTTTAGCGTCTTCTCAGTAAGCGTAGCGCAACAGAGAGATCATGCGTTCCCTTTTCCTGTCATACGTCATAACTACATTTTTCATTAAAAGCAACAGAAAAAGAGAGTAACTAACGCAACAAAACTGTGTATTCTCTCCACCAAAATAAAAATTTGGAAATGAATAAAATTAAGATGACGAATTAAAACAAAATAAATATGAAGAGAATTAAACTGAATTATATGTTGCCTAATTCCACAGAAATACCTTCAACTACTTAATCGACAAAACATTTTTAAACTGACAAAGCAGCGTCACAATCTAATAAAATACTCGGAAACCAATTACCCATCGCCTAATTAATCAACCACCCACTGACTCATTACTCTCCCACACTAATGAGAACTAAGCATCATACTACGAGAGAACTCTCTCTGTCTTTCCCTCTCATTTCTGTAATGTCTAACATCAACCTCATTGCCCAACCCTCTCTCACTTCACAATGTTTTATCAAGTGAAGAAAAGTAACGTGAGGCTCGATAGAGGAAAGTAGGCCGCGATACCGATGGTTGTGAGGGAGATTATAAGATAGCCGAGGTACCGATGGTTGTAAGGGAGATTATAAGATAACCGAGGTACCGATGGTTGTAAGGGAGATTATAAGATAACCGAGGTACCGATGGTTGTGAGGGAGATTATAAGATAGCCGAGGTACCGATGGTTGTGAGGGAGATTATAAGATAACCGAGGTACCGATGGTTGTGAGGGAGATTATAAGATAGCCGAGGTACCGATGGTTGTGGGGAGATTATAGGATGAAATAACAGATCAGAAAATTGCGAGTGCATGTCGAGTGTGCAATCTGTTCTCAATCTTGTATTTCTCGTATGTACAGATTACAGTATTGTTGGTCTTTCTGAAAGGTATGTCATCTGTAATCGGTTTTAAATGAGTATCGGATTTGTAACAGCTTCGGGGAAAGGCGTAACGGTGAGCGAGAAAGCACTTCAGAAGGCGCGTCATTTCTTCGAACTTCTCGACAACGATGGCAATGACAGTTTTATTCGGACCACTGCTGGAAATACTGATAAGGCTCATTGTAGTAATGTGGAAAATGGGTAAGAAAGCATTGAAGTCTGTGGATCAGTTTGCATAGAGTAGTTTAAAGATATTAAATGATATAATGGCTGACGTTATTGCTCTACACTCTGCTGTTCAGGCTTCCGTTCCATTTATGCGATATAATAGGAAAATTGACATCAACTTTTTCAATATTAGTATAGAAAGTTAAATTAGCTTATTATTAAGCAATAGTGCATATTTTTAATAAATTTTCATTTAAACTACTGCATGAGTTGTCAACGACTTTAATATTTTCAGTGATTCGGTGCTACTTACTTCCCCTTTGAGCGCTACACGACAAAATTCCAAGCGGATCTCGTCAACATTCAAATCTCCTGTGATCAAGAATCCACGTCTTGACAACGGTTGGAAATATGTTAGCTCATCTGTCACTCATTTTTGCTAAATGTTGTATGCACGATTTCATAATTCTGATACCCGCATCTATCAAAATTTGTCCAACTGCTATAAAACTTCTGGATGGATTTTGTGAGAAAGCAATTATTTATAATTCACCGTTGATTTCAATACATTCCATCTTATTTTAAAGCTTGTCTATGTTTTATATTTATTTTTCAGCTAATTGCAGCAGTAGTTTCAACTCTCCAGTCAAAGAAATTGCAATATCATTTAAACAGTCAATTTCTACAACACAGAAAAGTAAAAACAAACTGAGAATCTTTATATGACTATAATGATAATCTTAGAAGCCTTATAAATAGTTTTAGAGTATCCTTCTTGTAGAAGCGATATCTCATTTTAGTGTTTGCTACACTGAAAAACTTCTTTTTGAACCTTTTTAAAATTGATGAGGCAAATACTTTGCTAATTAATTGCTATTCTGCTTAATTCCCATTTTTTAATAAAGAACCACTACTATACAAGCCAGGTGAATGCAAGCCATAAATGATAATGGGGCTTTTTGAAAACTTTGTTTTAGATTCTGTCTGCGGTGAAAGTGGAAATGTTACTCCGATCAAGTTGTTGACACCATATTGCAAGAACTGGCGGTTGTGCATCAAAGTTACTTCTGTTGATGAGGCAAATACTTCGCTAATGCTATTCTGCTTAATTTCTGTTTTTTTTTTTTTTGAAATGTAATTTCAAATTTTACGTTGTCTTACTTTTAGATGAGATGTGTTCGAGGTCAGCAAATATTCTCATTTCTAGCGGTGGATGATGGCGGTGTCGAAATTCGTGTTTCTGCTTTTGGTGACACTGCGTACAAAACTGCTGCTTTAATTTCCCCGGAACAGGTGAATTTACAGCAAGTTTTATAAATTCATATTCAAGTTCTTCTGAAATGGTAATTTAATATTCTAGATGTATTATATTACTCGTGCATCGGTAAAAATGGTAAGCAGGAGATATAGTCGTAAGGAACACGATATGGAGATTGTACTTCGACCAGATAGTGAGGTCATCTTATGCAATTTTTATATTTAGTGTAAATCTTATATATGTATATGTATATGTATGTATATATGTATATGTATGTATATATGTATATGTATGTAT